GCGACTGCCCTCCAGATATATCGCCCCCCGATGCTGCCGCCCTCCGGAGCCGTCCTTAGAGAAACCGGGGCAGCACCTTTGGTGCTGCCCCGGTTTCTCTAAGGACGGCTCCGGAGGGCGGCAGCATCGGTGGGCGATACATCTGGAAGGCATCAGCATCGCTGAGAACAAGGCACCATCTTCCTCCAAGACCAAGCGCATCCTCCATGGAAATCTCAATCCCGTAGCATCCTTCGTCTTGGCAAGGACTGGTTCCTTGCTCCAGAAAAGCTTTCCCTCTGTAGCTAGCGGGTTCCGAAGGCGGACATTGGCTCTCCCAGCACCGGCAAGCAGCTGTTTCGGGATTCGGGGTCGTTGCAAGGGATGCTTTCCCCTCCGGAGGTTGAGCGAGGAAGAGGAGGAGGAGGAGGAATGTAGGTCATTTCTGCAGCACGTGATGCGGATATCGGGCAGGAAATACAGTTGCTCCCACACCGAAGAAAAAGCTTACCGCAGCTCGGAGCTTTCCACCTTCACTCAAACCACAAGAAGTCATATAAAAAGTCACGGGTCAAAGGCAGCCCCGCCAGCTGCCGGCTTTGCGCCTGCGCCGCTGTGGCCTCATTAATAAGCTCATTAGGAGATGAGGGGGGGTTGTTGCGTATTGTGAGTCAGAGAGGCAGTTTGGGGATAGAATCGGGTTTTCTTGTTAGTGAGGGGGAAAAAAAAAAACAAAACAAAAGAATGAGAGATGGGTCCAGAGCCGCAAAAGCATTAGATAAGTGTTATTTAAACGTAAATTTCTGTGGGTTTCCTAAAACTTTCTTCCCCTTTTGAAGTCAGGGGTGCTCCTCCTGGTCACACAGTATGGAGCAGTGTCTGTTTAGGGATAAGGCACCACATTAAAGCGCGTATTGGAAATAAGGAAGGTGCTAAAATGGGCCGAGTGCTTTTTAGAAACATAAATAGGGAGGAGGAATAAGAATACGCCGGGAGGATCAGTTGTTGATCGGACTGCCTCTGTTGCATGCAGTAAATCTTGTTTAATTCCGTTAATCTAGTTAAATCTATTAATTAAATTGACTATTAATTAATTAATTAAAGCTATAATGGGTGGGATTCCCAGGTGAGACACGTGAGGGTGGGTCGAGGAGGACTGGCAGGATTGGGCAGAGGCGCTGAGCAGCGCCGGCACGGGCGCTGGGTTTATTATAGCTGTTCTGCGCCCACTAACATTTTCTCTTGCGCCTTCTTCTGCAGCCGGCAGTGCCGCTCGGGGTCTCAGCGGCATCTGTAGCGTGGGGAAAGGAAAGGGACGTCCACGTAGATAAACCTGAGCAGGTCCCCGTGCGGCGGTTCCCAGTTCATCTCTCCCTGGAACGGGCAGAGCCGGCGGCACGGCGGCCGGTACAGCTGAGGACCTGATGCTCGCCTGGGCGGCAGCATCCTCACCCGTCGGACCGATCCAGCCCCGAAAACCCTGCGCGGCACCCTCGGTCTGCTGGGAGCACGGACTAACAGCCTTTCCTTTGATTTCCTAGGGGAAAAAGAAGAGACGAACACGGGAAAAGCAGCAAGATTCCAACTCAGGTAAACACCTGCGGCTCGGTGGCTGTCCCCTCGTTTCTTCACAGAGGGGATAATCCGAAGCAGTTGTCGTGTTTTACCATGTTTGCTTTTATTCTCTTGAGCTTAACTAAAGAAATACACATCTATTTTTTTTTTAAGGCGTGGTAAATTAACATTTCGGTGACTTTTTTTATAGACATGTTTGAATTTGAACACAGGTAGTGTGCGAAAAGTGAAAAGGTTAGGTTTTGGTGAGTGCATAACTTCATATAAACTATCACCGCACTTAATCTATTCAAAACATCCAGGGTGAATGTCCCCATCAGCCCTACAGATACCATTAATTAAAGAAATCTCCTCTCAAATGCATCAGTGTTGCGTGTAGGACTAAATGCAGTGAAAGGCTTGAAGATGACCTATGAGACTACCTGAATTTGGGTTTCATTTCAAAGTAACCTAGAGGTCAAGTAAAGTCATACTAAAAACCAGTATCAGTTGCTTCCCGCACCGCACTGTTTATTAGAAAAGGCCCTTTTGACAGATTTCAGCTGGTGACACACACGTTCCCATCATCCAAGGCTATTCCTGTGCCGGTTTCTGAAGTATTTATGCCGTATCAGGAATAAATAATACTCGTACCCCTAAATATTCATTATAAAACATGAAAAGACTGTCCTTGCCTGCTATGGCATCACGTATACATGAAGTTAGACAGCCTGTTTTTTCCAGTATGTCCATTCTGTGATCGCCTCTAGGCTTACAAAGAGCTTTTCCCACTCTGCAGCCTACCGGTTCATTACGGCTCGTCGCTCTTCCTCGCTTTTGAGTGAAATTAAGTCAGCCGGATGACAGGCTATTGCCTTTCTAAGCAAAACACTCGTTCTCTCTCCCTCCAGAAATGCTCCCTGGGGGGGTGCCAGGTCAGCCTCTTGCTCTCAGGCCCTGCACACCCACCCAAAGACCCGTCACACCCGAGTTGGGGACCCCACGGTGCACAGCTGGCTGCATCTGGGCGGTGCGGTTGTTGGTTAGGGCATCGGAGTCCAGCTCTGGTGTTATTCCTGTGGATGACACTTCCACGCGACCGGAATCCCACCGCCTGCATTAATTCATAAAGTTCAAATTACCTCAGTAATTTAATGAATTGCCATTGGATGTCCTCTTTGAATTGTCCATAAAAAGCAATTCCATGTCCATGTCCCAGTAATACCTCCAGTTTAGTTAGCACTGTTGATCTCATTCCATGCCTAGACTGATAAGGGGAATACAAGCTTTTAGGCTTCTATGTAGTGTATGTAGATATTTATATATCCATATATGTGGTAATTTAACCTGTTACGGGCTGAAAACCAACCGCCGGTCACACACAACAGGAGACACTGGTGGCAGCTGAAAGGGGGAGTGAATCCAGCACAGAAATGTACTGTTCAAATGCCGTTTATAGCACGAGAGAAAAAACCGCGACGTGCCTGAAAAAAAATAGGGCTTCACCCTAATGAGCCCCATAATTATGCAGCAAAACCTGCAACGTTTTAGGGGAGGCCACAGAGAATAGCTTTATCCGTGGAAACTGGAAGGGGAATGGTGGGGGGCTGAGCAGAATAACCTGGGCCTGGGTCTCCTCGGTGCTAACTCCGCTTCCAGCCTGCTTCTGCAACGTTTCCTCCTCTTCTTTTCCGTGCGCAGTCCGAGCTCGCTGGCAGCCCCGTTTAGGCGCTGCCGGACAGGCAGGGAGCAGGTAAGGATGCAGACATGGAGGGGAGGTGGGGGGGCAGGCAGCGCCTCTGGGATTTGGCAGCTTTTCCAAACTTAAGAAATTCCAAGAGCTGTGAATTTCCCCGTAATTGCCCATATTTCCCGGGACCTGAGGCCGTTTCCCCGTGCCTCCTTCTCCCCCAGCTGCCAGCTGTGATCACTAATATTTGCCTAACGGACACTTTTTTCCAGGAGAGGTGGTGCCGGCGCTGGTCTGTTGCAGGAAAAAAAAAAAAGAAAAAAAAGAAAAAAAAAAAGAAAAATTGGATTGTAGTCTGTTAGTCGTGTGTTTAAGTGGCTAAAATGATGTTGCCTCTTTTCTTCCTCCTGCTCCTCCTCCTCTTTGTGCCTCTGCCTTGCCCATTCTCCGCCGCGCATGCTTCTGTGTTCAGATCCTGCCTCTCCTAAGAAATGCAGAGCTCGCTTTGGCCTCAACCAACAAACGGACTGGTGCGGCCCGTGCAGGTGTGTATCGGCATCTCTTCGCTGCTGGGGTGCTCCTGGGCGAGCGGGTTCGGCTCCCTGCGTCCCCCCCCCCGCAGCCATCCCAGTGCCGGCGGGGGCTGCTCCGGCCAGACGGGGATGGGGTTTTTCTCTGGGCATCGTCAGGAGTTGTCGTCCGAGCTGCGAGGGTCAGGCTGCACCCTGGGTTTCTTCCCCGCCCCCCCCCGGGGTTATTTTGGTGTCATACTGTACCTGTTCCTCAGCGTTAAAAGCTTATTTCCAGGGTGGAGACCTCTGCGACCCTGATGTGGGGCTTTCTGCCCCCGTTAAAAGATTTCCTATCCGATAAAAAGCACCTTAGGGCCAGCAGGGAATAGTTAATGGATTTATTTTTCCTATTTATACCGGGGCTAACCCTGTATTTCAAGAGCCAGCCCTTCTCGACCCTGCGGTTTTCCAGTACCCGCCGCGGGGTGGGAGAGCCTCCAGCAGCGAGGCAGTTCCCAGCGCCCTGGACGGAGGTGGCCAGGGGATGGAGAACCTCAGCGCTTGACCCAAGTGTTACCTGGTTCAGGGAGGGGGTCTGCAAACGCAGCCGGGCAGAAGAAGCTCCTGGAGGGGCTTCTGGACCTGGGCACTGAAGCACGGAGAGGTTCCAGCCTGGACAGAGGTTTTCATAGCACTTTTTTATCCCAACGCGTTGAGGACTCCAGCAAACACTGGAAGTGAAGTGTTGCTTTTTTACCGCAGTTTAAAGTGACTAAAATCGTTTAGTCTACCCAAAGTTGAACCCCGCAGTGTCCCGACGGTGCTTGGCCACCGGCCTTGCTGGTAGCCCAAGCCCCAGTAGCGGTGGCCGAGCCAGAGGTGAGCCCCCCTCCCCGCCGCCGCGTCCTGCGCCGCGGAGTGCCACGCAGCAGCAAAGCTGCCGCTCGCTGCCGGATGTCCGCGAGCACCGGCTTTGAACTCATTAAGAATCTGGGCAGAGCTCCCTTAATATCTCATTAATACTTTACCTTGGATGTCCGGAGAGGGGGTTTTGTCACCCAGTGCCACCGAGCTGAGAGCCCCGTACCGCAGCACAGGGCACGACTCCAGATCTCGGGGTAGTTTCCCCGGCTTCGCTCTGCCTTCGTTTGAGCTCTCTTCATTCAGCTTCTCTTCTGCGCTGCTTCCCAATTAACACAGGCTGCTGGAGCGCTCCGAGACCTTAACATGCTTGTATTTTTTAACCTTTGCCTCTCAAACCCCGGTTAGTCGCGGCTGTTCTGCAATTCCCCGTACTAACGTGCCGCTGCCGGCTCAAGGGCTCCTGTCCCACGCTCTCTGGTCACCTGTGGAGAGCTACTTCCACCGGAGGATTTCTGCTCCACAGGAGAGGTGAACTGGTTAAAGCGGGGTGTTCCCGCTCTAGAGCTTTCACCCTCCTCCCCCTCACCCCGGCAAACCACCCCGGGGGGCCGTAGTTCCCAAAGGGAGAGGGATAAACCCCTTTAGCTGTGACATGGCCACGTCTGCCGTAGCCCACTAACCCGTTCGTTATCAGCAATCTGTGGTATCACATCTGCTTTTTTCCCCCCGTTATTTTAAGTCAAATTAGTGAATCGATGGATAGATTTGTATCATCTTGAACGGGTGATTGAAACTCCCCATTCTGCAGCCGCTGCTGAGATCACAGAATCATAGAATGTCCATGGACATCGTAGATGTCCATGGGAAACCCAGCTTCTCCTGGGGCTTGACTGCTCTGGGAGATTACAGCCCCTGTCAAACAACCTCCCAGTGAAATATTCAGTTCAGCAGAGCTGTCGTGTTTCATATCGCATTAATTGGGTCACCACGGCTAACGATGACACTGACAGCAGTAATAGCACTCCTCTTGTTCACATCCAGTGCGAAGTCATGTTTAATACTGGACTAGTTAATACATATTCTAACACTGTCTAGTTTTTCATTAGTAAGATCAAAGAAAGGTGCGTGCCCGCATTAGCAAGTTCTTCATTTGATCTGTTTTCCTCAAACGAGGCAGCCGAGGCAGGGAGCCGGGCGGGAGGAAAATCTTCGTTTTAGCTGTTTTAGCTGTAAAGTCGTTAATACCATCTCCAGCAGAGGAATTGTTCCCTCGCTACTATTAAGGTGACATCTCAAGAGCTCTTTTGTTTAAAACTATACTGAGATGCTGAAGGACACATAGCGGGTGGCGTGAAGAGAAGGACAACCAGCTCATCACGACAACATGAGACAGTGTGAGGGACTGACTCTGAATAGCCAGGAGTAGTTAAGGTCATCTGGGCATATGAGCTGGCAACTGGCACTCGGGATAAATATTCCTGGTTTTGATGCTGAACAGCAGAATTGTCCAAGGACGTGGAGGAATCACGCCCAAATCCACTTACAGCAAGGATGATGTATGACTTGTATTTTGGAGACCCCCAAATCGTAACATAGAAACGAGTGGGGAACCTCAATATCTTCTCCAGGGGATGGAGGGCTGCCGGTCCCTGCTCCCCAGGCACTGTTGTCTTCAGGACCTTCCTGGTCCCAGTGGGCTTCTTGCTAGGAAAGGAGGGTCACCACCGATGGGGTACTTTTTTGTAAAAAAAAACCCCTTTTTGTGAGTAAACCTTCCCCAGCCGATGAGCCCTATTTGTCATGCTGCACAGAAAGGGAGCACAGTTTTTGTTACAGGTCCTTCTTCTGCCTGATCTCTCGCTGCAGTGTCTGTCTGCGTTGTGTTTTGTACACGTACCTCTGCTTCCTAAGGCAGAGAGCACAGCAAACGTTTCCTGCCCAGAATAGCCACAGGCTGAAATGTCAGAGCTGTTTTGCCCTTAGCTTAGCAGTTTGGAAGGTGATCTACCCTCCAAAGACCGACAAGTCCTCTAAAGGGCTCAGAACTAGTCAAACATCCAAAGCAGGACCTCAGCCAGCCTCGGACCATGTCTTCCTCCGGCCATTCCAAGGCCATTTTCTTCCCTCTTCCTGAATCTGTTGGGCACCTTCAACTCAGCTGTGTCACTGAGTCATCATGAGAGGTGGGGATGAATGTGAAGTATTGTGAGATGCGGAGATGGCTGAGATCAGAGGCTTTCGCTGCAGAAGGAAGAGCTCAGTAGTAGTAGCTCAGTGCACAAGTCTAGGAGACTCCTAGGAAATGGTCTTAAGATGTTTAAAATTTTGAGCTGACTTGCATTGCCTGAGGAGAAAAGCCAAAAATGGTGTGAAGGGCAGTGTCCTGGCAGGGCATGACCTGGTACTCCCGACCACAGCGATGCCGTGTGCCCAGCACCCTGCCCGAGTGGGCACAGCCCAGAGCTGGCCAACTGATGGGCAACCTGCCCCGAAACACCATCCACACAGGCGCGTCCCGTGTGCTCTGCGGCAGCGGGTGGGGGCTTACGCGCTGGGGGGAGAACCTTTTAGTCTTGAGCTCAGTGAGAGCACACTTGCCCCACTCAGCCTCCCAGAGGTAGAGAAGCCTGGCTGGTGAGAAACCACCGAATGGTTTGGGTTGGAAGGGACCTTAAAGACCATCCAGTGCCACCCCCT